ACAGCTTATTGAATTTGTTCTGGTGAGTAGAATCATTACCTTCAGGCCTTTTGCTGCAAACACTGCCTTTTCAGAGAAAATGCAGTGTTTACATTACAGCCTAGTGATAACTTCACTGGCCACTCCTTAGATGGCTGTTAGAGATCCTTCCTGGGTCATGGCTGCCTAAAATGCATCCAAACATTCAGTATCTCCTCCCTCATGCAGACACTGAACTTTCCTCACTTAGAGATGCATTGTTCACAATTCATCTCCTACAGGGAGTGCAGAATTATTAGGCAAGTTGTATTTTTGAGGATTAATTTTATTATTGAACAACAACCATGTTCTCAATGAACCCAAAAAACTCATTAATATCAAAGCTGAATATTTTTGGAAGTAGTTTTTAGTTTGTTTTTAGTTTTAGCTATGTTAGGGGGATATCTATGTGTGCAGGTGACTATTACTGTGCATAATTATTAGGCAACTTAACAAAAAACAAATATATACCCATTTCAATTATTTATTATTACCAGTGAAACCAATATAACATCTCAACATTCACAAATATACATTTCTGACATTCAAAAACAAAACAAAAACAAATCAGTGACCAATATAGCCACCTTTCTTTGCAAGGACACTCAAAAGCCTGCCATCCATGGATTCTGTCAGTGTTTTGATCTGTTCACCATCAACATTGCGTGCAGCAGCAACCACAGCCTCCCAGACACTGTTCAGAGAGGTGTACTGTTTTCCCTCCTTGTAAATCTGACATTTGATGATGGACCACAGGTTCTCAATGGGGTTGAGATCAGGTGAACAAGGAGGCCATGTCATTAGATTTTCTTCTTTTATACCCTTTCTTGCCAGCCACGCTGTGGAGTACTTGGACGCGTGTGATGGAGCATTGTCCTGCATGAAAATCATGTTTTTCTTGAAGGATGCAGACTTCTTCCTGTACCACTGCTTGAAGAAGGTGTCTTCCAGGAACTGGCAGTAGGACTGGGAGTTGAGCTTGACTCCATCCTCAACCCGAAAAGGCCCCACAAGCTCATCTTTGATGATACCAGCCCAAACCAGTACTCCACCTCCACCTTGCTGGCGTCTGAGTCGGACTGGAGCTCTCTGCCCTTTACCAATCCAGCCACGGGCCCATCCATCTGGCCCATCAAGACTCACTCTCATTTCATCAGTCCATAAAACCTTAGAAAAATCAGTCTTGAGATATTTCTTGGCCCAGTCTTGACGTTTCAGCTTGTGTGTCTTGTTCAGTGGTGGTCGTCTTTCAGCCTTTCTTACCTTGGCCATGTCTCTGAGTATTGCACACCTTGTGCTTTTGGGCACTCCAGTGATGTTGCAGCTCTGAAATATGGCCAAACTGGTGGCAAGTGGCATCGTGGCAGCTGCACGCTTGACTTTTCTCAGTTCATGGGCAGTTATTTTGCGCCTTGGTTTTTCCACACGCTTCTTGCGACCCTGTTGACTATTTTGAATGAAACGCTTGATTGTTCGATGATCACGCTTCAGAAGCTTTGCAATTTTAAGAGTGCTGCATCCCTCTGCAAGATATCTCACTATTTTTGACTTTTCTGAGCCTGTCAAGTCCTTCTTTTGACCCATTTTGCCAAAGGAAAGGAAGTTGCCTAATAATTATGCACACCTGATATAGGGTGTTGATGTCATTAGACCACACCCCTTCTCATTACAGAGATGCACATCACCTAATATGCTTAATTGGTAGTAGGCTTTCGAGCCTATACAGCTTGGAGTAAGACAACATGCATAAAGAGGATGATGTGGTCAAAATACTAATTTGCCTAATAATTCTGCACTCCCTGTATGATGAGATGCTGATTGGCCAGGGCTGTGTTTGAATCATGCTGTCTCTGCCCCTGATCTGCCTCCTTGACAGTCTCAGCCAATCCTATGGAGAAGCACTGTGATTGGATCAGGCCACCACTTCTGATAAGTTCAGCAGACTGCTTGTTTTTCTGAGTCTAACCGAATGCAGTTACAGCTTCAGGCTTGAATACAGTAAGATTTTGCTATATTTATGGAGGCATGAGGGGCCCAGGGGGTCTAGATGGTGGTGTTAACACTATAGGGTCAGGAATACATGTTTGTGTTCCTGACCCTATAGTGATCCTTTAAGGAGAGTCCAGTTCCCCTGAGGATCAGGGGGCTATCAGTCTTGATAATCTGTGGCCCTCATAAAATAGCATACTTATTTATCTCTTAATCAACACTGTCTTATTTAATGTTTAATTTTTGCATTGCTCCCATATACTGGTCAGATTTTCTGCACACTGCAGTGTTTATGGTGACTTGCCATTTAGGTGATGGGCCCCCTTTTTAATTTTTTTCAGTTTTTTTTCATTTCGTATTTATTTTTTGATTCTATATATCTTTGATGTAGCATCCTTAATCATATTTTGTAGGACACACGCACTTAATTTTCTTTTTTTGTAATCTATAATCTTTTATTGAGTTTTTAACTTTTTTTTTTCATTACACATACGCATTAAAAGTAACAAATCACAAAAACAGCAGAAAAAAACATACTACAATAGACATTACCACATTTCAACATTTTTTATTTTTACAAATTTAAGTTTGCCTGTGTGGGGGGATCAAAGATCTACCTCACCAGCCCACAGCAGCATGGAGGGAGGCAGGAAAGGACCCGGGGAGCTCTAGCCAGCAGCTCCGCCGGGTTCCTCTTGCGAGGTTGGAGCATTGCCACGGCAGGCTAGAGTTCACTCTCCACTGGACCACCAGGGATGGCAGCAGCACAATTCCACCCCCACCCCACATAAGGTAAGAAGGGAGGGGGGATATTAACTAATCTGCCCCCACCTCCACAATCACCCACGCACACAGCACCCTCACGCGCACACAGCACCCTCACATACACAGTACACTAACAGTACCCTCGCAAACACACACACCACACAAACAGCACCCTCACACACAGACACACACCTCACAAACAGCACCCTCACACACACATCACACAAACAGCACCCACACACCACCCATACATATACAACACACAGCACCCTCACACACAGCACACTACCAGCACCATCACAAACACACACACAAGCACCCTCACTCACATAGCACACTACCAGCACCCTCACAAATACATCACACTAACCGCACCCTCACACACATCACGCTAACCGTACCCTCACACACACACACACACCACCCTTACACACACAGCACCCACACAGGGCCAGTGCAATGATTTTTGCAGCCCTAGGCAAAAGTAAAGTTTGCCGCCCCCCCCCATGTGACATCACAATGCTCCACCCATATGATCATATGATCTGCCATGTTAACTAACGCCAGTGCTGCAGTGCTGCCGTGTTTACATTATAAGGCATACAGGGACAGGCTATAGACACCAGAACAACTACATTAAGCTGCAGTGGTTCTGGGGACTATAGTGTTTCTTTAATGTGAGGTAAATTCGAGATTAGTGCCACGAATAATATACTAGATTGCCTATTTACAACGAGATGAGGATGATGATGGGTTCTAGCTGCAGTCTGGCTCCACTGGTCTGGTGTAGAACAGGCTCTCTGGAGGCGGTTTGTAACTGTGGTCACAGAAATCAATGTTCTGGGAGAACGGTAAGCAGCTCCATTTTTGGGGGCCCTTTACACAGCTCAAGGTCTGGGTCCCAGGGTCCACCTTCATGTTCCACCAATGAGTTTGTTCACAGGGAGTGGAGTGTGTGTGTGGGGGATGTCCTGATGTGTGTAAGGAATGCATTGTGTGAATCTGTGTTTGTATGTGTAAGGGCTGCAAGATGAGTTTGTGTATGTATGGGATGCAGTGTGTGCGTCTGTAAGGGATGCATTGAGTGTGTAAGGGGTGCATTGCTTGTGTACGTGTGTCTGTGTGTAATGCATTGTGTGTTTTTCTGTGTGCAAGGTGTGCATTGTGTGTGATGGATGTCAATCTCTCCCCCTCTCCCCGTCAATTTCCTTCTCCCCCCCTCTCCCTCCAATTTCCTTCATCTCCCCCTCCCTCTCCAATTTCCTTCTTCCCCCCTCCAATTTCCTTCTTCTCCCCCTCCCTCCCTCTCTCCAATTTCCTTCTTCTCCCCCTCCCTCTCCAATTTCCTTCTTCCCCCCTCCAATTTCCTTCTTCTCCCTCTCATTTCCTTCTCTCTCCCCTCCAATTTCCTTCCCCTCCTCCCGTCCCTCAAATTTCCTTCCTCTCCCCGTCCCTCAAATTTCCTTCCTCTCCCCGTCCCTCAAATTTAATTCCTTTCCCCCCTCCCCCTCAAATTTCCTTCCTCTCCCCCCTCCCTCAAATTTAATTCCTTTCCCCCTCCCCCTCAAATTTAATTCCTCTCCTCCCCTCAAATTTCATTCCTGTCCCCCCTCCCTCAATTTCATTTTCTGCCCCCCTCCCTCAGATTTCATTCCTCCCCTTCCATTCCTTCTCCCCCCTCCATTTCATTTCCTCCCCCCACCCATTTCATTCCTCCCCCTCCTCAGTTCATTTCCCCCCATTTCATTCCTTCCCCTCATTTCATTTCCCCCACTCCATCTCCCATTTCATTTCCTCCCCATTTCATTTCCTTTACGCTCCCATTTTAATTCCTTCTCCCCCTTCCCGTTTCATTTCCTTCCCACCCCCCTTTCCTTCTCCCCCCTCCCATCTCCCATTTCATTTCTCCCCCCCTCATTCCTTCTCCCCTCCCCATTTCCTTCCCCCCCCATTTCATTCCTCCACCCTGATGTGGGTGGGCCCATTGTGTGAGGAGCACTCTGTATGCTTCCTCTTCAGCTCCTCGCCCATTGCTGATGCGGGGCGGATGGCGTCATCTTCGGCTCCGGCGTGATAAGAGGGAGCTGAAGGCCTGAAAGGCCTCAGCATGACATTTCAGGGCCAGCCTCTGGGGGGCCCTGAGGTGACCGGCTGCTGGGCCCCCCAGGAGAAGAGGCTGGCCCTGTAGGTACATACCGGGTCGCAGGGCCCCCTGCGACCCGGTATGTACCCACTGAATCTGGGGTCCGGGCCCCCCCAGGACCGCCGGGCCCATGACAACCGTTGCGGTTGTCATGCCCTGATGGCGGCCCTGGGGTTCCCTGTGCTGTTCGGGGAGCTTGTTAAACATTATTGACACCTTGAAACGATTCTGCCAGCAGTGTTCTAAGTGTTCATCTGGGTGGCTGGCGTTCATATGCCTGAACATGTGGTGGCGGCCATATTGTTCCTGTGAACACAGGCAGCGGTGTTTGGTCATCTAGTGTATGGAAGTAAAATCGGATACTCTACCTCGCAAAGACACCGCTGAACTTCCATCCCACCTGCGTTCAGTACTTTACACACTTGAAGAGCGCTGTTCAGTGAAATCATTCCTCTGAATGAGGTGAACAAGCTCCATGTTATACTTATGGATTAGGTTCAGTATTTTGGTCACATGGAACTTCCGAACGGGACCGGCTGCAACCAGTGAATGCATGGAACTGTTTTGGGCATAGGACCATGTGTGTGGCCAGTCAGAACTTTACCCTGGTGGTGATTCGGCTGTGTTCATGGGAAAAAACAGACTACTTCCCAGCATGTGTAGGGGGAACAGCTACACGGGCTATAATCACTGGCTATAATGCGATACTCTCTTGGAGGAGAGGTCTTCCCACTGGGAGCTGGATCCAGGTGTTGGTCCAGGGTGGGAAGGGACGGTGAGGCCCTAGCCAAGCTTAGGGGACTACGGTGCTTATGGTGTC